CTCTCTCTCTCTCTCTCTCTCTCTCTCTCTCTGAGCAGTGAATTATTGGTGCATAGAATCAATGTCTTACTCTTATCGCAAATAATTGTTTGAGTTATTGATCGCGTTTTACTGGAAGCTGCAATAAATTGCACAGAATATTCTATACACACAATATATAGCTCTAGTAGTAGTAGTGCTGCCAATAAGTCGTCGATTGGAGTCGACAAAAGTGAGCGCATATTCATAAAGAACGGTCACTTCGAGGACCAGAGGCTAACACTTTGATTGTACTGATAGTTTCAATACATGTCTATCTATAATAAATTAAACTTGCTAAACTGCTAATTAATAATCAACTGACCCTTTAATTTATTGCTTATATATTGTATTTAATTTCACATAAAAAGCTTAAATATGAAGAAAATGATTTATAATATTGAAGAATAGGTAATGAAAGGAATTAATATTTGTGCGATTATAATTGTAGTGAATTACTATTAGTATCTAATAATAAATAGGCAACATCTATAATACTAATATTTACAATTAGTATTTATACTCTAATTCACAATTATTATAGAATTTTGTCAAAACAAATGGTATGATATATTGGGCTAATATTATATGTTATTTAAGATTGTAATCATAGACTCTTTCTCTTCGTAAAGTGATATTATATAAAAACATGAATTACATTATAGTAATGGTTGTAATCTATTAATTATTATAATAATAATAAAACAACTCGATTGTAGTATAAAATCGGATTATGTGTCCATTAGTTGTAATGCGAATCAACTTTAATGCGGATTAAAAGCTATAAATTGGTTATTAATTTAATTTGAAAACAAGAGCTCATCGAAAATTGGCGGATATATTGGCATAAAATATCTAATAAATAATTATATCTGAAATGGATATAACAATATCATCAATCATGCGGTCATTTTGAGATCATTATTCTTTTGGTGGCAGAAATTACTTAATGGGTGTAAATATATGCGCAAAACTTGTGGACACATATCCTGTGATGCAAATGACAAAAGACTAGAGGAATGATTAGAAGAAGGAGTGGTAGAGATGTGTAAATAACCTGAGATTTTTCGATCGTTGCGTTATATCTGTCACACATGGGACTGATGTCGAGTCCGAGAGAGCGCTCTTTGTCTCCCTGTTGGAAGAACTCTTCCATCACTGATTCACACCATCTCTTATAGATGTCCAACCGTTTGGTGGGATTACTCAGATCAGCGCAATGTAACATATTTTGAAGCACTTGTATCCGTTCGGTGTAGTTGTCGAGTAGGAGTACTCCACTTCCGGCCACTTTCTTCGTCTCAACCATAGTCTTGAGATCGGCTAATAAGCTCATGTGTTTCGACATATCAGTCGCTAAAACCATATCAATAGTCATTTTGCGAAGTGTCTGTCTCTGCTTTTTAGTCAAATTGACAAATATATCGGTCTCTTCGAGTTGAAGCACTTTGAAGGCAACGGCCAGTGAGTGGTTCTCCAACACAGACTCGTCGTTATACATGAGCGCCAACTCTGAGCTCGAGTTTATTAGATATTGATTTGTCACTCCCGGGTGGTCCACATCATGGATGGCCGCCGCGAACAGAGCCGTCAGTGTCTCCAAATCAGTGAACACCGACTGAAAACATATAATGTATTATTCAATTACAATTAGATATTACTCTTGAATACATGAATATTCAAAGCATTTTCATTTATATAATGCAAATTCTTTGGTTAAATATTTGTCAAGATTTAATCGATTTTATTTCAAACTCAATTTGATTTATTACCAATTCGTTCGTTCAGTTTATTCCTATTGTATGCAATGAATCCCAAAATATATTCTGGAATCTCAAAAGAAATCCTTACATAATAATAAATGAAGAACTTAACGGCATTTGGCAAAAATATTTATCTATTATAAACAAAATTTATGGCAACTTTAAGATAATCATGTGTTAGTTCGGCTGACCTTAAGTTTTTGTATAAGTTTTAAGTGTCAAATATTATTAAAAATGTTATTTTAAATTCAAAATCAGTTTGAATATCACAATAAACTACCACTACTTAAATTAAATAAACCATATACTGTACAATAAATAAAAAACATATTTTTAAACAAAATTCATAAACAGGTTAAATGGATAACAATAATAGACTATCCAATCGAGACTATAGACATAAATAACTTCATAAATTAGACTAAAAATAGGGGAACGAATCGAAATATTTTGAGCCTATGATTAAAACAAAAATATTATCCGCCGATAAAATTGATAACAAAAACAGAGTAATAAATACTTACGTCGAGAGCGGGCGATAAGAGTAGGACGTGAACGGACTGAACGACATCAGCCGCGTGTAGACTGTTATGATAGGGAACGTTGAGGTAATGTTCCTCTAAAGTCATCATAAAAGTTATGAATTTCTTCGAAGGAATTTTGAATGTCTTTATTAAATCACGTGCCTATCAATGGGTGATATAAATCATGTTACAAATAATGTTACCATTCGGTGCCACACAATATAAATATCAATAATTCATAACAATATGTCTGTAATAAATATATGCAATAAAATTTTAAAGTCTATTATGCTATTCAGTGGCGCTTAATGGTTGGTTGGCTTAGTTTACGGTTAAAAGTATAAAATATTTATTGTATTATTTCTTATATTGCAATTCTTGAGAAAAGGTTGATGTGTTTTTAACAATAATATAGTATTTAGTATATTATAGCAAAATAGTTAAAACTGAATCCTAATATTAGAGAGAATTTTGCAATTTAATCATTTTAATTGAAATATTCTGTAAATATTTAAAGTTTATTATTAAGGATTTACTGATTTTAAGAAATATTTTGTATTAATTTTTTAATAAATAAAATATACGGACAAAAATACTCAAATAGATTGTATTAAATTCACAATTTTATATATAATAAAGATTTACTTTAGAACTTAACTGCACTTCCATTAAAATAAAATAAGAAAATAATGTTTGAATAAAGAAAAAAATTTGCTTAATGTACACATACTATGCAATCATAAAATATATCAAAATATTGATTTTAATTACACAAACATTGCTTTCATTTTAAATTATTACCAGAAAAATGTAATGTAAGTAAAAATAAAAATCTGAATTCTTTTTGGCCATAGATTCTTGTAATGTATGAAATGATTACATTTATGAAACACTGTTTCCATTAAAATTTCAACATTTCAAAAGAATCGATCAAAAAATCAAATCATTATAAATATTTCAAAACTTATAACAATTGTAAT